TGCAGCCAAGCAGTGGCAACGTTCCGAATGAGGCGATAATGTTTGACACAATTACCAATACCTCGAAACGACCAAGTGCACTTAAAAGGAGTTCGCCGTGCTCATAATTTTTTCAGGACACGAAGTAGAAATCAGGATCGCCAGCAGGCTGATCAGGAGACGATGGGGCACTGGTCAAAAACTTCCAAAAATGCTGAGGTTTTGGACAAATGTGAATGTTTTCAAGTTTGAGTGCTCTGAAAAAAACCTCACTCGGCATCATCAAAAATTAAGTCGTGGCCAGCATCCTGAATGATCTCACATGCTTCGGTTGCCCTGCAACAAAATAATGCATCAGGGATCAGGTAAAACAAATGAACAAAACGGTGGTAAAGACCAGAATCGATGAGAAAATAACCTTAGCTGTGATGCGATGCTATTTTTGTTGGCCTGAATGGAGCGCATCTGGGACAACAGACGAACGGCGAGCTCCACTCTCGCATCCGAGCTGCTGCTGCTTCTGCTCCTCAGGCGCGGTTCAGTCCAATTTTCGCCACTCAAACGACGCCGTTTAGCCTTAAAAAAATATTTTCTGGTACTAAGAAAGAAAGAAGACCACCTGTTTTCCCTCCCTGAATTTCATTTTAGCTCCCATTACCCTAACTACTATGTATGTTTTATGCTGCAATTGCAACTCTGTGAAAAGCAAGAATACAAAGAAATTGAAATACAGATGACAAGCAAGTTCATCTCTGATACCTTTTTTTTGAAGGGAAAAATGTCTCCACGAAATTTTCAGCTTAAAGTCCTGGTGTCATAACTAATTGTCACACACAAACATATGCATATATACATACACGCATAATATACGTGTGTACATGTATATGTACATATACATATATATACATACATGTGTATATGTTTGTATGTACTTGTACGCAAACACATATATAAACAAATACGCGCATGCACTCATACACTTGTACTATACATGCACTCACATGTACACACTAAATATGAACACAAAAAACATACGTACGCATACACGCCTATATAAGCATACATACAAAAACACACGCACACACTTATATACACATACATATATGTAAACACATACATATATACATGCATACATGCATGTATACAGACCAAAAAATAATAAGTAGCGGCACAAAAGAGTAGCCGGTGCGATCATACGTTTCGCATTGTTACGTCCAACGAATGTCTGCTTTAAAGAATGTTTCCCATCTTATGTTTCACTGCGTGCAAAAGCAGTCGACAGGTTAGGCCTAGGCTGCGACATTTTTTAATAAAAATTTCACCGTTATGTGAAACGTAAGCGTACGTAAAAGAGATATCCCTCACATGGACAAGAGATATCCCTCCAAAATTTCAGCTTTCTAGTTTTCTGGCTTGGACTTTCGCACCAAACTTTCAACTTGGCCATACGCAAGACCCATGCATTTATGGGAGTCAAATCTGAGTTCTCCAGGTTCCTGCATAGGCAGGTAAAAATATCACCATGTCAGCCTACCAACTCTCTTTGTTACCGAAGTAAAAATTTTTCCCGCCCAAATTTTCATGATGCCGTCCTTAAGAGTTAACTCTAAGTGAAAGCTAAATCTGAATTTGCGGAGTCCATACGCGTGCAAAGGAAATTCCTCAAAAACTCTCACCTTCTAGCTTTTGTGGCCCTCGAGTTAATTTCTTTCTGCCAATTTTCATAGGGCTGTACCATGGCACCCTGACGTATGTGAAGGCTGAATTTATATCTGCGGGCTGAAATTTCGGCTTTCTGCGGTTCTCGGGTTTGAAAGTTCGGGATAAAGCACACTCACATACACGCAGACAGTGCCGTGCTAGTATCCGTTTTTATGCGTTTTGTGCTGTGTAAGAGCATTACAAAACGCATATTGTCACGGGGTTGTCTGTTTGTGTGTGTGTCCCACATTTTGTCCCGCACTTTCAACTCGGGAACCACAAAAGCTAGGCGGCTGAAATTTTAGCGTAGTACTCTCCGCCAACGGGTGACGCGGCAAATTTAAATTCAGCCTTCCCGTACCTGCGGGTAACTCGTACGGCACCCGCCAACAGGTGACGCGGCAATTTTAAATTCAGCCTTCCCGTATCGGTGGGTAGCTCGTACGGCCCCGTGAAAGTTTTTTACGGGTAAATCAATATCTCAGGAACCACGAAGTCTAGGAGGCTGAAATTTTAGAGTAATGACCCCCTGCCCACGCTCAACCTCGCCTATTCAAATTTAGCGTTCCCGCTCTTTCGGGCATCACCTACGGGCTATTAAAATTTTTTACGGGTAAATTATTTTCTCGGTAACCACGGGGTCTAGGAAGCTGAAATTTTAGGGTAATAACTCTCTGCCCACGCTCAATCTTGCCTATTCAAATTTAGCGTTCCCTACGGCCTCGCGAGAATTTTGGCGATTAAACTATTAGCCCGGGGATCACGGAAAGATATTCACTCTTCAAAGTTTCGAATTCAGTTTTCATGCGCTGGTGCGTGAAATTTTTAACTGTTTTCCAATGTTTGAACTATTTTGCTATTTAGCTTTCATACGCTGGTGCGTGAAATTTTTAACTGTTTTCCAATGTTTGAACTATTTTTGCATAGAAAAAAAGTACAAAGCAGTGAAAATCATTAATAGGCAATCGTTCGATGGGCTGAATTGCACAAAACG